TTTTTTTTTTTTTTTTTTTTTTTTTTGAGACCGGCTGCACCACGCTCAGCCAGTGAGCGCTGTGAGCGCACTGGTCATCCCTATATAGGATCCAAACCTGCGGCGGGAGCGCTGCTGCGCTCCCAGCACCACACTCTCCCAAGTGCGCCACGGTCTCGGCCCACTCCCCAGTTTTTAAACTATAATCTAAAGAACCCTAAAAAGTACCTTATATAGTTTTCAATACTAACAATTTGAAGGTGTTAGAAATAGTAATTTATGGGCCATGATAATTATTGATGCTAATATACCTCCCAGATAAAGCAGAGTATTGTAAAAAAACATACTAAATAATTTAATTAACAAATCCTTTTGCAGGTGACACTTCAAAAAGTTTTTGAGCATTTTTGCCAGAGGAAATATTTTGACACTAAAAGTCTAGAAAAGAATGGAAACTTAGATTCCTGTTTGGTTAACAGTTCTTGAGAGGAAGAAAGTTGTCTAAATGTGAGATTTTTCTTTACTATCTTTTAAACAGATAATAGGATGCCTACAATATATTCTACTACAGATTTTTACAGCAGGTGACTTAATGCTATAGAGATGACCTTAATTCATGCAGTGAAGTGAGAGCTGGAGCAAAATTATACAAACTGAAGCTCAAAAAGACATGTGAGCTTTTGCTGTACTCATACTCATATATAAAGGCTGAAGTCTTATGGGTTATTGTTCTAATTAAGAGACCAGTTGCTTTAAGTGGTTACAACTAAGTGTTATTTTCATAATAGCAAATCCCAACTCAAAAGGCGGTTGCTGAAATCGATAAGTGTATTGTGTTCAGGAAAAAAAGACAGGCCTCAGGAGAACTGACCTTGGCTGTCTGAGGTGATCTGCTATTGATTTCTTAGCGGCCATTCTATATCCTGATCTGTCTGGACCACGCCTAAATTCAGGGATGTTGAAGAAGTTTATATAGCAAGGCATGGCATTTAAAGAATAAAAGTGGCCACTATCTACTAGACTTTGCCATACATAAATTATTAAAAGGACATAGTTTTATTTTTTTATTTTTATTTTTATTTTTTTGTCCTTTTTGTGACCCGCGGCACCGTGCTCATTGGCTGAGCGCACTGGCCATCCCTATATAGGATCCGAACCCACCAGCGCGGCACTCTCCCGAGTGCGCCACGGGCTCGGCCTGAAAAAGGACATAGTTTTAACTTCACATTTACCTAGTGATCACTGGAAGTAAAACTAGTAATGAAGAGAATATGTTAACTTTCTTATTAATCTTTACAACAGATTATACAATCTTTACAGCATTACATTATATATTATATTAACCTTCACAACAGACCTATAGTTTAACAGGTCAGTATTATCACCATCATTTGAAGGACGTGAAAATGACACATAATCTGGAGAAGTCTTGAACACTGCATATTAGATTCACAGGCTTGCCCCCCAAACTAGCTATACCCTCCTGCGTAGGTACTTCTTATTTAAAACAAATAAAAGTACTATTCAAACACAAATGCTAAGAAGCCACTATGCCTTATTCACCATTGTATTTCCAAAACCCAGCACATGCCTGAAAGTAGGAGATACTCAATAAATATTTGTGAAATAAATGAAGCTGTGAGGAGAATGTTTCTGCACGAAAACTCGAACATAAACT